CAGCAGTGCCAACAATCCTCCAGCACCATCGGCGGCAGCAGCAGTGAGAGCAGTGGCAGTAGGAGCACCATCACCTCCCCGCCCGAGCACACTCCCGTCCGTCCGTCTGCCCGTTCCAGCAGTGTCCCGCAGTTGCTGCCGTCGCCGCCGTTGTCGTCACTGGTGCTCACGATGGATTCTACCGGATTGTGCTGCTACTGTTGCCCAGATCTGCTTTTTGGCGCACGAGCCCGATTGTCCAAGTGACACTGGTGGTGTTGCCACTCTCCATCTCGCTCTCTCTATTTCTCTCGCTCTCCAGGCTCACTCGGGCCCGCTGCGCTGCACCCACCGCTCCTGCAGTTTGCATTTGCAGTTGCATGATTTGATTAGCGGAGCTGGTAAACTGTGAACTACCGTGCATTATCGTCGGCTACACACTCAAGGTGCAATGTTGCCAAGTAGGGCGAGCACTTTCTGGACGCATTCCACGCGTGTCATTGTTTACGTTCATTGAGAGAGAGTAGCACTGCACTTGCATTCCAGCAACAGCAGCACCACCTGCACCGATGCCGAACTTTGGTAATGTTCTCTCACCCTAAATGCACTAATCTGCTGCTATCACCCCTTTCCCATTCTCTGCTGAAGAGTGCGGCAGCTGATTCTCTGTGCCAACCATCTCTCTTTCTCTTTTCCTCTTTCTGCCTTTCTCTGCTCAGTGCCACTATCACTCTGATGATGGCCAGAGTAACGACTGAAGTGGAGTGCCTGCGACTGCAACAGCAGCAGCAGCAGCAACATCAGCATCAACAAGAACAGTCCACCGAGATATGGCTATCCGGCGTCTGATGATGAGTGCCGGTGCCGAATGCCTCTGGCTACTGATCACTGCGAGACTCGACTACCACCATTGCCCGTCAATGCACGACAATGAGCAAGAATGACGACGACAAAGATGACATTAGTGTTCGGTGTCGCTCTGGTCTGAGTGACCTCGACTTGGACCTGGTCAATCGACAGAAGGACGAAGCAGGCACCTACTCGCTGGCCACCCTGCTTGAAATACGTCTCTCTTTCCAGCACTACCGTTGCGAAACGTTCGCCAACTGCCTCACCAGCTCAACTGAGCCTCGTCGCATCGCCAGCGCCTCATCAGCCAGTCGTCAACACCGGAGCGGCTACCCGACGAGCAGCAGCACTCTCCACAACCTAAGCTCCCTTGCTCAGGCACCTCTGTCGCCCAAAGACGCCTCTCCTCGCTTCCTTCGCAGTCTGCAATCACTTTCCGGTGACACCAGCGGGGACCACCACTACTGCTGTGAGACGACCAAACTGCTGCCGCCGGCCGCCAAATCGAAAGGAAGCGCATCACGTACTGACTTTCACGTGCTCCTCTCAAAGTTGACCCGATTCAGGCGGAGGCACCTTCCAGCAGAAGGGGTCGGCCTCTTTCTGAAGAATCGCCAAAAGAGCGAGGGAAGCAGTGACCGTCAACCGATACTCGCCGGCGACAGCTTCTCATCCTCACCTGGTAGTGGCAGCATCAGCAGCTGCAGTCGTGGTGCATCAGCAGCAGCAACAACCACAGCCACAGTCGACGACAATCGCCACTGCAGCACCTCTGTCAGCGACACTGGCAAAGTCAAGAGTACAAGTCTCTTCAACACTGGGAAACTGAAGCACGTGCATACGAAAGAACAGAGATGCGCTCGTCTCGGTGACGCCGCTGGCGCCCACTGCTCAGCGATAGTCAGTGGCGAGCAGTCCAACTCAGCTGGCCCTCGCAGCTCACCAAGCTTCGAGGTAGTGGCCGCACTGTGGCACCTTTTGCCTGAGACTTTTAGTCCATTTCATTGCAGTGACTACCTCCATTCCTGGCATGACCTCCACCACCTCCTTCTCCACTGCCACCATTGTTGATCATTTTTGCATGGCTACTCCTTGGTTCTTCTTTCAGTCTCTTCCTCTACTTCGTGTTCTTGTTTTTATTTGTTTGTTGCTGTTGTCTGTTCATTTGTAGCCACCCTCTCTTAGTTTGTTGTTTTTCTTTTTACTCTTTGGTTTGTGTTGATGATTTTGATTTTTGTTTTATTTAATGTTTCTTTCTAGCTGCCTAATTAGCCATATTCTCTTTACTCAAATCTAATGACCCCCTCTTTGTTGCTCTTGTTTCAGATTACTTCTGGTCCCCTACCAAACCCTGTGAATAGCTCTTCGCCCGATTGCAGCTCATCTTCCCGCACAGAAGGTGTGCACATCGGGCACATTGCCCCCAATACTCAAGTACATTCCAGTTCACTGTCTTTCTCCAATATATCATCCTCCTACTCGAGTCTCCTTAAAGACCACTCCTCTACACACCAAACTATCACCACTGCCCTGGGCACCGCCGCCGCCGGACGTGTGTCGAGCAGTCCGGTGAAGCACAGTCAGCTCGACTTCCGATCCATATCCGAGTACAGCTTCATTCACGCGCCTAGCATTAGTCACTTCATCAAATCCGATGTCTGCTCGCTGCCCATTCGCATGGACGATCAAATTAACTCAAAGATGCAAGACTCAAGCAAGTCGCACTTTGGTGAATCTCAGTCCCGGCGAATGCCGTCCTACGTGAGCATCAGTAGAGCCATCTCCGGCTACTCCAACTACAACAAGTACAGTTCAGATCTGAGACGGGACAACAGCCTCCTCGACAGTCTCCTGCCCTCGAGGGCCTCCAGCTCCCGCGCCAATGGTGACCGCCACCACCACGCTCAAAGAAGACCACTGGTGGACGACCAGGTGGACAACTTTTGCAGCCTTCCATATGAGCCGACGCAGGAGAAAGTGGTCGACCCTTCTAAAAGCCTCCTTCAGAAGAAGATTGAATCTCTCTACGGGCAAACCTTTGCCGAGGACTGGAAAAAGTCGCGTGGAAAGAGCGGCTCTTCCAAGTCCAACTCCCCAACTGAGAAGACTCGAAGTCCGTCCTGTCCGCCGAGCAGAATAAGCCGAGATGAGACGGCAAGTGGTGGTAGTGCTCACACATCAGTCCATCCACCGACGATCAACTCACTGGACAACTCCAGAGGTAAGTGTTATCAGATTTGGTTAATGACGCACGGGAACAAACACCACCGCCGCTTGTCTAAATTGCATTTCAACTGTACTTAATTGGTGCTCCACTCTCAGACTTAACTGTACAAAAAGGCACACATTTTCGCTACACTTTGTGTGTACTGAAAACACACGAAAGAGCAGTCAAAAGAGCGGGATTCAGGCACATAAGAGACGAAATTTAATTTACACAGGCGGCGCTCTGGTTCTTCGTACGTCATTAGCGAATTGAATTTTGTTTCTAACATAATGTTTTTTATTTGTACAGAGGATCTTCGTTCAGCAGAGCCTAGCACTGTGTCTAATGTGATAGACGAAAAACGCCAGCAACCAAAACAGCGCCACGCTGAAGATAGCTCAATGGAGTGCAATGCAACAACGCATGATGGTCACTGGTTTCTCAGAGAGTTAAATCAGTGCAAAGTAGGCATCCAAGCTCATGTTGACCGTTACGAGTCTGTCCTCGCCTCCACTGAAGACATCATTCCAGAAGAGGTCGTCGGCAAGATTAGGGCCACCATTGGAAAGGCTAACCTGCTGATGAACAAGAAGCTGAATCAGTTCAACCAGTTGTGCCTGGACAGCATTGTAAGTTGTAGTTGTACTTGTAAAGCAGTCCACTTTCATTCATTTTCACTTTCCTTATGCAGGCTCAACGTGAAGATCAAGAGTTTAAAATAAACCCCGATGACTTGCAAGGCTTCTGGGATATGGTTACTATTCAGGTGGAAGAGGTCCACGGTGCTTTCAATGACCTCGACGTCCTTCAACAGAACAACTGGACTGCAGTCGATGAGGAAACGAGTAGCGAGCAGGTAAACTCGATCTCACTTGATTGCCCATACATCACAGTCATTCTAATCATGCATTTCAGTTCAAGGCATCATCACGTAAACCGTCCAGTACCGCTTCAAAGCATAATAGCAACTCTCCACGATCTGTACCTAAATTAGTCAGTCCAATGAATTCTCCAAAAACTAGCAAAACTGCCAGTCCAAATGGTCTTGAACGGGAGGCTGAACGCAAGATGAGACTGATGGAAATAAAACGAAAGGGCAAGATGAAGGCTCGAGAAAAATCCACAGAAGAGGAGATCACCATCTTCATGCCCACTCCTGACAATGATCTCGACAAATAAAAGTGCAAAAGTGAGCAAGCTGTTGCCGCGAATGTCTGTGACCGTACACCGACCATTACCTGTGACGCCCTCTCCTTCCCTCCTTCCCCAACCAATCTCCCACCTTTCTTTACTTCCCAACCCACTTTGCATTCTCAACTGTCTCAATGTTCAAGCAAGCTGGTAGTCCTGTAGTCCACATGTACACACCGTTTGTAAATACTGCCAGCCTAAGTCAGTGACTTGGACACTGGAACTTTGTACCAAACTCAATTTGCAGTCAAATAAAACTCTAAAGTTTTTTATTTATTTACAANTATGTACACACCTTTTGTAAATAATGCCAGCCTAAGTCAGTGACTTAGACACTGGAACTTTGTACCAAACTCAATTTGCAGTCAAATAAAACTCTAAAGTTTTTTATTTATTTACAAAAAAAATTATGATTTCATAACAATTTTGTTTTGTTTTGTTTGCGCGTTTCTTTAAAAACTCTTGCCGTAACCTTTCTGCCACGTGAATGGCGGAATTTTGCTCAAGTTTCTCGCGAGTGGCCACAGCGACAGTGGCGCCACCGCTCACTTGAGCTGGGGCGAGTGAGCGCTAGATGAGCGTTGTGTGCCGATCACATCACGTTTTTTCAAGGCGTAGAGAGAGAACAACTGAAAGTGAAGGCACTCAAAGTGGGATAGCTTTTCAAAAGGCACCTTTTCGCTCCTTGCGGCACTTCCCCCCAGTGCAAGTGTCAGCCATCTGAACTTATCAGCACAGTGAACATTCTATCCATCTGATACCTCCTCCTGCAGCAATGTTTGGCCAAGGTGCCACGACCAATACGTTTGGTCAGCCTACGGGTAAGCACTGTTTTCTCTGATTTTCTAAACTCTAAACGATAACATTCTTTTGTTTTCAGCTTTCGGCGCAGCGACACCAGCTCCCTTCGGCGCGCTGAATCCGCAACCTCAGCAAGGTTCTTTGTTTGGCCAAACATCGGCTCCTACAATGTTCGGAATGAGCCAACCGAGCTCCTTATTCGGAGTATCAAACACTAGCCAAGCAAATTCCTTTGGCGCTCAGCAACCTACTTCGACGTTTGGAAATACATCGTTGTTTGGCAATGCTAACAGAGGATTTGGCATGACACCTGGAACAACATTCTCAAACACATTAGGATCTTCAATTAGCGTGCCAACTGGAACGACAGTCAAGTTTGCTCCACAAACAGGCACTGATACGATGATGAAAAATGGCCATTCTCAAAGCACGAGCATCAACATTCGCTTACAGTGTATCACTTGCATGCGTGAATACGAATCGAAATCACTTGAAGAGCTACGTTTCGAGGACTATCAAGCTAACCGGAAAGGTGGTGGTGCACAGCAAAACACCTCACTTTTTGGTTCTAACGCTCTCGGCACTGGCCTCAACACTGGTCTGAGCACTGGTCTTAACACCGGTCTCAATACTGGTCTCAATACCGGTCTCAACACTGGCCTTAACACCGGCCTCGGCGCTGGTCTCAGCACGGGCAACAATTTATTTGGCAATCCGAGTTCAACAAGTTCGACCTTTGGTTCTGCTTCTACTGGCAATCTATTCGGTCAAAATAAAAGCACCTTTGGAGCGATTGCGCCTACAACAACGTCAACAACAAATAGCTTCTTTGGGACAAACAACATGAATGCCAACAAGCCTTCAACATTGTTTGGTCAAAATACTACCAATACTTCATTTGGCCAATCCAACGGTGTGTTATTGAGTCATTTTGAGTTTCAACTCTGCTAACTTCAATTTCTTTTTTCAGCCTTTGGCGCAACAAACACTCCTGCCCCGTTTGGTGGACTTAACACTCAGCCGCAACAAGGATCCCTTTTTACCCAACCTTCAACGAACTCCTTGTTTGGAAATAAAAGCCAGTCAAACACCATTTTTGGAGCAACCAATAGCAATCCAACCAACACATTTGGATCGATCGCACCTACAACAACTACCACCAGTTTCTTTGGCTCCAACAATCTTAACGCAAACAAGTCTACATCTTTGTTTGGTCAAACTGCGCCTACAAATACATTTGGTCAGCCTAATTGTAAGATTTTATAACTGAAAACGTTGACGCATTTTACCTAACATGACTTTTTGATTTTTTCATAGCTTTTGGCAATACAAATACATTTGGCGCGCTTAACACTCAACCTCAACAGCAGACTTCCCTCTTTGGCCAAACATCGACAAACTCCATGTTCGGGATGAGTCAGCCTAGTTCTCTTTTTGGTGCAACGAACAACAACCAAACAAATACCTTCGGATCACTTGCGCCATCAACCTCAACTACTAACTTCTTCGGTTCTAATTTGAATGCAAACAAACCAACACTGTTTAGCAATCCCACTACAAATACTTTTGGCCAATCAAATGGTATGCTGCTTTCTTTTTTTCTAATTTTATTTTTAACTTTTTTCCTTACAGCTTTTGGTTCTACAACTTCGGCACCATTTGGCTCGTTAAATACTCAGCCACAACAAGGCTCGCTCTTCGGTCAAACTTCTTCTTCTACATTATTTGCGACGAACCAGCAAAGTCCAATTGATTCTAGCAACATTATTACTCGCCTCCAGACTCTTCCATACGGCTCTCCACAACTTTTGGTCGACAGCTCCAGCTCACCAGGAGGAATTAAAACAAAGTTCACCACTGATCCTAAAACCTTGAATCAGTACAAAATCAATGCCAAGGCGCAAGCAGAAGTGAAGGTTCAACGAGTTCCAGCTGCAGGAAAGCCGACAACGTTGCTTTTTGATGGCTTAGATGACGAAAGTGCTGACAATTTAAAGTGTGCGCAAGACATCTTTTCGCCAAGGCCAAGCATAAAGAAGTTAGTGTTGAACAAAAACAACCCTTCACTCTTCAAAAACACGTTCGTCAAATCTCCACTTGCAAAAGATAACGAAGCTCCTTTCGGCAACAAAGAGAACCGCTCTCCTGAAGTGGTCACGACTACTATTCCAAAGCAAGTTCCAGTTCTTGACAATACCATTGAAGTGATCTACAAGCTATCGAACGAAGGCGCCAGGCAGGATGCCAACAACTCGACTGGATCTTCAGCTGAAAAGTCCTTTACCTTTGAGCCACTGAATTCAACTGTCACTGAAGAGGTTGTTGTTGTGAACAACTATATTCCAAAGTGTGGAATCATTTTGAACCGGACAGACTACTACACTATTCCATCAATCGAGCAGTGTGACGCCTTCTACGATGCTGAGAGTGACAGCTGCATCGTGGACAGCTTTACCGTGGGTCGTGTCGACTACGGCTCAATCTTTTGGAAAGGGCCGTTGAACGTTAAAGGCATTAACTTGGATGAAATTGTTCACATTCGTCGTAAAGAGGTCATTGTGTATCCTGATGATGAAGCAAAGCCGCCGGTCGGTGAAGGCTTGAACCGACCTGCTCAAATTACACTTGATCAGGTCTGGCCAATCGACAAAACGACCCGGGAGTTTATCAAAGACGTTCAACGTTTACGAGCCATGAAGTACGCCGATAAAGTGGAAGCAGCCACTATCAAATTAGACGCCATATTTAAAGAATATCGACCAGACACTGGCTCTTGGGTTTTCACGGTAAAGCACTTCAGCAAATATGGATTGGATGCTGATGACGAGGACATTGACATGGATCAGCAGCCGCAACAGCAACAACAACAACAGCAGCAACAACAGCAACCCGCAAAGATCAACCAAAATGGTTTTCAAAATGGCAACATCCCTACCAGTAAGTCGACCAATGAAAACTACAATCATTTAATTAGCGCTTCAGTTGAACTATTTCCAAAAGGTCAGAATTTTTTACCAAATGGCTTTGGAGGTCCTTTGCCTAAGTTTGGCGGCGATATGCAGATCCCATCGCGCGACCTACCCAGCAATTACATCTACGGCACTATTCACGAAGATGATCTTGAAGATGATAATAATGTCGAAATTGATCCGACTCAAGCGAAGGTGAATAATGNTGCAAAGATCAACCAAAATGGTTTTCAAAATGGCAACATTTCTACCAGTAAGTCGACCAATGAAAGCTACAATCATTTAATTAGCGCTTCAGTTGAACTATTTCCAAAAGGTCAGAATTTTTTACCAAATGGCTTTGGAGGTCCTTTGCCTAAGTTTGGCGGCGATATGCAGATCCCATCGCGCGACCTACCCAGCAATTACATCTACGGCACTATTCACGAAGATGATCTTGAAGATGATAATAATGTCGAAATTGATCCGACTCAAGCGAAGGTGAATAATGAGCTCAGCCTCATGAGGTCTGCCTTTTTCCTAGAGCAGGACGAAGAGGTTGACACTGTTACAAAGAAATGCAAAAATATGTCGTTCACGAAAAGCACCACTTCTCATCAAATCATTCCGTCGCTCTTTCCAAGCAAGTTCAAATCTACTATTCCTAAGCGGCGAAAGCTGGAATTTGAGGCTGTTCCTTCAAAGAATAAGGCCAACATTTATTCTGTTAGTTATGCCACCTTCCCTAGAGTCAACTTTTTTAACGGATCCAATCAATTCTGCATTGTGTATGGCGGCCAGGTGCTCGTTTTCAAAGCAAACTTTCTTGATTCCGGCAAAGAGAAGGACGACGAACGAAAGATGCAGGAACATCTCACTCTAAATTCCGAATTGATTTCATCACACAATCCTCGATTCCCGCCAATGGTTAAAACCAACAAGTTTAGTCTAATTGTTGGCGCTGATGTTCATCTTAACTCGCTCATTGAAGCGCTGTACGGCGAACTTAGTGAAACACTGGACTTTTGTCGGTACCAGGAGCGAATTCGCCGCATTGTAAACTGGCTGTTCACCTACAACAAAACACTTCCAGTGCCAGAGAAAACATTTGCACGCATCATGCACTTTCTCACCACCAATGAACTTGAATTTGCCGTCACAGAGTCTGTCAACTCTAAGCAACCTCGACTTTCTTACCTCCTTGCGTCTGGTCAATATGTAAAGAAGTATCTCATCATGTCACAGCTCGACCACTGGAAGCGAAGCGAGTCAGACGCCTTTATTGAGCATGACTTACTAAAGCTGTACATTCTGCTCTCCGGACAATCAAACTGGACTTTGAGCACAGGCCAAACAGTGGAAGTTTTTGAAGGTCTCGAATGGACACAGCAGCTCATTCTCCTGTTGCTTTACAAAGATTTGGACGTGAGCGATTCTGAGGTGTTTGAAACAAATCTCGTCAAGTCGGCAATCTCTCTGCTAACAGTGAAGCCGAATTGCGTCGAGTACCATTTATTGGCGCAGAGTGATCCCTGGGTGGCCATTTCAGCATGCCCTGGTTTACTTGACTCGTGGTTCTTGCACGAGTCACTTTGCAGCTTCAATGTGATTGCAGACGATTTATTCAACAACAAAAGTGACTCCATCCACCTACACTTGGCCTCACAAGCTAAAGACTTGCGGTGGGCTGTGTTCTTTGCTCTTCATATTCGCAACGATTTTACACGCTCTCATTTTGTGATTGATCTTCTCGTTCGCAACTCGACGCAGCTGACTGATTCCGATGTGAAAACGTTCTTGGTGGACAAACTCTCTGTCGACAAGCAGTTGATATCGGAAGCCAAGTTGCTGTTTAGAGGTTGCCCTAAAGCTGCCCGGTTGTGAGCAACCTCCCACTGTGAACTACAACAAATTCTATCATTAAAATAAAGACACATTTCATTTTTTCATGCTAATTATCAATTTGTATTTTTTACTTGATTTCTCAAAAAAGTACAACAAAACGTGTCAAGTCGTCATTGCAAGTTGAGTGCCGGCAGCAGTTTGCCCTCACACTTGCCGAAGCCCACCTTGTAGCCGTTGCCCTTGCAGAATCCCTGCAGAATGACGGTGTCATTGTCCTGCAGGTAAGTGCGTGTTTTGCCATTCTTCAGCCCAATCGGTTTGGTGCCTTTCCAGGCCAACTCTAGCATAGAGCCGTATGAGTCTTCAGTCGGACCGCTGATGGTTCCAGTGGCCAGCAAGTCACCAGCTCGAATCTACAAGAAAGAATTGATTAGGCAAAGTGAAGCGAAAGTAGACTTTTGTGTCTCACATTGCATCCGGTGATGGAGTGGTGAGCCAGCTGCTGCTTTATACTCCAGTACAGATGGCGAAAGTTGGAAGTGCACACTGTGCTGGCCTCCTCACTCTCAGGCTTGATGTCCACACTGAGCTCAATGTCAAAGTTGAAGGCGTCGCTGTGGCGCAGATAGGGAAATGGCTGTGGATCCTGCGCCGTGTTGGCCACTTTGAATGGCTCCAGCGCCTCCACGGTCACTATCCAAGGACTGATAGAAGTGCCCACGTTTTTCGCCAAAAATGGCCCCAATGGAATGTACTCCCACTTTTGAATATCTCTGTTGTGAAGATGGATGAAAAAGCCTGTGTTAGTCAAGTGAACATGACAGTTCTCTAGTCTCACCGTGCACTCCAGTCATTCATGAGCACCAAGCCAAAGATTCGTTCGTGCGCCTTCTCCACTGGAATAGGCTCACCAAGTGCGTTCTCAGGCCCACCGATGAAGTAGCCGACCTCCAGCTCAAAGTCCATTCCCTTACAGGGACCAAACTGCGGTGGCTTGTCCTCCACCGGGCGAGTCTGTCCATTCGGCCGTCGAATGGGCGTACCAGAGATGACCACTGATGAAGCTCTGCCGTGGTATCCAACGGGAATGTACTTCCAGTTGGGCAGCAAGGGTTCGGCAGCGCTTCGAAACATGCAGCCAACATTGGTGGCGTGCTCAAGTGAAGAGTAAAAGTCAGTGTAATCGCCAATTTGAGCTGGAAGATGCATTCGCGCTTCGGCTTGTGGCACAAATGCCCGCTTCCGAAGCTCTTGATCATCGCGAAGTTTAGGGCAGTCTTGACTCAGCAGACGAATCAGTGTCTGCCTGGCTTCACTCCAGTAGTCCTTACCAAGGTCCATGAACTTGTTCAAGGTGGGCTCAGTGAAAACACTCGATGCGACATTTTTCAACAGTTTCCCTTCAAACAGGTGGGTGATTTTGCTTAGATCTAAAATGAGATCGCCAATTGCCACACCAATGCGATGTTTTGGCTGTGGAGGAAAGTCGACAAATAAGAAGTCATTTCCAAGAAGGTAAATCAATGACAGCCGCTACTTTACCTCAGAAGAAGTTGAAAAAACTCCATATGGCAAATTCTGAATGGGAAAAGAGCTCTCTGGGTCAACGGTGATGAAGGACATTTTGATTGACTGGAATGAACAGTTGTCACTTGGAAGTTACGATGAATAGTTCTCTCCAAATGGCTAAACTGAAATGATCAGCCTGTCTCGTTTGAAGTCTCTCGTCGGCATGCACGAGTCTTCCACTCAAGGACATCAGATATTATGCGTGTTCGCAAACCATCAATTAGCCAGTGTGACGGCTGCCATAGCAAACTGGTTTAGGCGCATACTTTTCTATCTTATCGCTTCGGACATCTCGAAGTCTGAATAAACAGTTTGAGGAGAATACCTTTTCTGAAAATCAATAGCCGTTCGCTGTTCACTGATGGAAATGTATCTATTTCAAAAACAAAATTCCGCCTAGGCAGCCAGTTACCAAACAGAAAAGAGAGCACATCTAGAGTCCGTTTTAAAATTGAATTATTCTAAAGAGATACACTTGCAGTCATTGACCCTTATGCAAACACAGCGCATTTTCCTTATTAGGTAAATTCTGGCATCTATTAAAAATCTAAATGAGAAAAAGGATGAGGCAATAAGTCAGACTATTTCCACCAACGCCGGTTGCAGATGCATTGCAAGCATGCCGATTGTTTGGTTNCCATTTTCCTTATTAGGTAAATTCTGGCATCTATTAAAAATCTAAATGAGAAAAAAGATGAGGCAATAAGTCAGACTATTTCCACCAACGCCGGTTGCAGATGCATTGCAAGCATGCCGATTGTTTGGTTGGCCGGGTTGCTGTCTTGTTGGCTGATTTAGCTGATTATAAAAGACCGTGACACTCTGTTGCATCAGCATTAACTGCTCCGAAAATGTATGTACTTTGGTAAAATCTTGGTCAATTTGTTCCAATAAACTTACTTTACAGGGAAGACGATAAGAAACCCTCGAAGAGCGCTCTGAAGAAGGCCGCGAAGAAGGCCGAAAAAGATGCGAAAAAGAAGGAGTCTGCTGAGAAGAATCGCGCCGATGAAGCCGGCAAAGTTGAAGATGATTTTGCCAAAGATAAATACGGCTCTTTGCCACTGATTCGCTCAACCGAAAAACCTGATCGTGTGATCCTCAATGTCGAGGATTTGGATCAGTCGTACGACGATAAGGTGGTTTGGGTTCGCGGCCGTCTTCACACTAGCCGGGCTACTGGAAAGCTGTGCTTCTTTGTTCTTCGACAGAAGCAGTACACTATTCAGTGTGTACTTGCGGCTTCGGAGACTGTGAGCAAACCTATGGTCAAGTTTGCTGCTTCAATCAACAAGGAGTCAATAATTGACATTCAGGGATTGATCAAGACGGCGCCGGCTAAAATTGAAAGCTGCACTCAGCAAAACGTCGAAGTCCATGTGGAAAAAGTTTACGTTGTCAGTAACTCGGAGCCAGTTCTGCCCTTTCAACTTGAGGATGCGTCCAGGCCTGACAGTGAGGTAAAGGAAGGTGGTGAAGGGGTGGCCATTCGCGTGAACCAGGACACTCGGCTGGATAACCGAATCATTGACTTGCGAACTACCACTAATCAGGCAATTTTCCGCCTGGAGGCTGGTGTTGTCAAAGTTTATCGCCGAATTCTTGAAGAACGGGGTTTTGTGGAAATTCACACCCCAAAGATTATCTCTGCTGCCAGTGAAGGTGGAGCCAATGTGTTTCAAGTGAGCTACTTTAAAGGAAGTGCCTATTTAGCTCAATCACCGCAATTTTACAAACAAATGGCCATTGCTGCTGACTTTGAAAAGGTTTTCACTGTTGGAGCCGTTTTCCGGGCTGAAGATTCAAACACCCATCGTCACTTGTGTGAGTTTGTTGGTCTTGACTTTGAAATGGCTTTCAAGTACCACTACCACGAGGTACTTGACATGATTGGTGAGCTTTTTGTGGGACTATTCAAAGGACTGCAAAAAGAGTACGCGAAGGAAATTGAAACTGTCAATCGACAGTATCCTGAAGAGCCGTTTAAGTTTCTGGAACCATCGCTTCGCATTGAGTATTGCGAGGCTGTCAAGCTGCTGCGAGAGCATGGCGTTACCATGGGCGATGAAGAAGATCTTACTACTGCCAATGAAAAGTTTCTGGGTAAAATAATTAAACAGAAGTACGACACTGACTTTTACATCCTGGACAAGTTTCCGCTGGCTGTGCGTCCCTTCTACACGATGCCTGACCCGGGAAACTCGGTAAGTGTTTCACTTCAGAATAAATTTTTCAATTGTAAAATTGACCTGTTTTTTCTTTAGAAATATTCTAACTCTTATGACTTGTTCATGAGAGGCGAAGAAATCATGTCCGGTGCTCAGCGTATTCACGATCCCGAGTTCTTGATTGAGCGTTGCAAGCATCACAATATCGGTATGTTTGACAAAAAAAGGTTGTTAAAATGAAAGTTGACTAAAAAATCATTTTTTAAAATAGACATCAGCACAGTTAAGTCGTACATTGACTCCTTCCGCTACGGATGTCCTCCTCATGCTGGCGGTGGAATTGGTCTTGAGCGTGTGACCATGCTTTTCTTGGGTTTGGACAACATTCGCAAGACGTCACTCTTTCCACGTGATCCAAAACGCCTTACACCCTGATATTGCCCTGTTCCACACTACACACAAACGGTAATGAATTGTTGTCGTGGTGTTTATGCAGCACAAAAATATTGGCACAACCACTACCACCACTGCAGAGAACAAATGCAAAGCACTTTTTTATTATTTTAAAAATAAAAATAGATCGCCCAAAAACTGTCTGCATGTGATTTTCTTGTCTTGCACTACTTAGCTTATCAGCACACGCCAATTAGCGTGCTCTGCTCATTAGAAGTTCCAATATCTGCAAGCACCGAGCATTTCAAGGCGCTGATAAAGGATAAGGAGGCGCGATAGGAAGCGCACTGTCCTGGTGCACCACTGTAATCGGGTGCCTGTAAACAAACAGCCTCTTCAAGTCTGACAAAGTCGAAGAAGAGTAGGAAGAAGAAGTGAAATGAAGAAAAGTGCCGTCGTCTCCATCTGAAGAGAGACACTGATGCCGACAGGAGATGAGAGAGACTTCAGATGCCGATGTGAATCGACGCACCGATGATGGCCACTCTGGTGAAGAAGCACACTAGTTCACTGCTGCTGCTGCTTCTGCTCGCCCATCTCTGTTTTGCTGCCTCTGGCTGTGACTTCACCGACCAGGGCGGCCACAAGAGGTCGGCGGTGAATGGGACACAGGTGCTGCCACTGCCCTCGTGCGACCAGGTCTGTCCGATTGTCTTCGAGGGCGCCTGTCAGTGTTCGGTGCTGCGGCGAGAGCAGACTGCTTCCGCTTCCTCGTCTGCCAGCAGCAGTCCCATTCCAGTGCGACTGCAGTGCTCACAGACGAATGCCAGTATTCTGCTGAGAGACATCGACAACCTGGTGACCACCAACTGCAACTTTAACCTAGTGGAGCTTCGTGTTTTTAACTCAAACCTAACTCGTCTCTACCATCTGCCCAGTGGCCTGTACAACGTTCAGGAACTGGTGCTGGAGAACACTGGCATTGACCTAGAGACCATTCGAGAAAGTAATGAACTACTGCGATCGCTGAAAATATTGCGCATCTCCAATGAAAACTACACCGAGGTACAGTGGATATCATTAATTTCGCACTACGACTGTGCACTGCCAACTGTCTAAACTGTCATTTCTTCAACTGTCTTTCCTCTCTGCCCATTCTGGCGTAGATACCGGAAACGCTATTCAATGGCATGGACGAGTTAAAGGAGCTGTCGCTGAACAATCTCGGTTTGGCGTACGTCTCCACTGACGCCTTTGTCTCCCTGCAAGACTCGCTGACCTTGCTCGAGCTTCGCTCCAACAAGATTCGCAGCATTCCGGGTGCAGTGCACATGCTGTCTCACTTAGAATGTCTCGACCTGTCTACGAATGACATCAAAACGGAGCGAACAGACGGAAGTGTAGTCACATTTAGCACCGGACTGAAGCGATTGAAGCGGCTGCGTATAAAGTGTAATAATGAACCAACTGATACTAATGATCATGGCCACAGTCGGTCATTGCCGGTCGATAAGCGTGCCGGCGCCGATAATGTCCCCAGAGTGCCTAATCGCCTGTCTTTTCTCTCTCTTTTTCCCTTCCAACAGTGACTAAATGCTCCTGTGAGTTTGGCCGAAGTAAATTCGCCACCTGGCTGCGAACTTATGCAATCAAAGGCGTCACCTGCAATGTGTCAGATCAGTTGGCTGAAAAGGATGTATCAAATACACCCGTCGAGGAGTTCTGCGAGTCGCCCACCAATTCTGTTTCATCGCTTCAAGCGATGTCAAGTTCACTGTGGCGGCCACTTCTAGTGATGCTTCTGCCCTTCTGCTTTCTGGCAAAGTTTTCATTGTTCAAAGTTGATTGTTGATGTTTACTGCCCATTGAATGGGCCCTTCTTCTGATGTATAGAAAAGTACAATCACAATAATAACAAAAGCATTTAAAAAAGAATATGATGCAAGAAAACAAACCGTTTTGATTTCTTTTCTTCCCCCATCAACCTTCAGGCACGCATCACCGATCAGTCTGCCTACTTTGCATACTGCTGCTGACAGTGTAAGTGGCCTTATTAACGAGCTGTCTCAATGACTGACTAGAGGCTGAGTGATTGAATGAGTGATTGTGTATGCTTAACAGAAAGGGAAAGTGAGAGAATATGTGTGTGTGCTGGTGTGTTGGTGTGTTGGTGCATGTGTGTGCGTGTGAGGGCGGCCAGAGTAGCTCATCATTTGGTAGTCATTTGAAGAAGCACTGGGGCACACATGCTAGTGTGCTAGTGCCGCACGATCAATAGGCAGAGAAGGAGAGAGAGAGAGCGAGCGAGATAGGCAAAGTCGGCAAAGACAGTAGGCCAGACGTTTCGCTTGGCATCTTCTTCCTTCCGACGCATGTCCGAGCCATAATTGCCGCGATCAAGGGGGCTTGCTTGTGGCTTGGCTTTGCTCCCACTCACTGCAGTCTGCAGCAGCAGCCGCTCTCTGTGGCTGAACTCTCTGTGGCTGCCGTCTTCGACACGGTCAGTTGGCCGATCGGTGGTCGGACTGCACACTGCTGGGACCGCCGAGGACGGTCGAGGCACCCTTCACTCTGCCGTGGAAGAGCACTGCCAGCCGCCTCACCATCGCCCACCACACCGCCCCCCAAGTGCCCTGTGCCTGACACACTGCTCTGGTACCGCAAAATACTGCATCCTCTCTCTCTCTCTTTCTCGCTTCCTCTCTGCCAGACTGTCTGTCTGTGTACACCGCTCAAGTAGCTACTGTTCCGTGCTGTGAGGCACCTTTCCTCTCTGCCTCATCATTATTTTGGTGCACTGTCTGCTGCAGTGTCAGTGCAGCGCACGCCACATTTTCCCTCCTTCTCCCCCGCTTCTACGATGTGCATCCTCTAAAGCCACCACAACTCTTTCCACCGTCTGCAAAATGTAGTGCCGTGTAGTGCGGTGATGTGTGTCTGAGCTGCGCCAGTTGCTCCTTGCGCAAGGTTTGCAGCAGCAGTGCAGAAGTGGGCACCAGCGCAGTGTCGCCCACCGAGCACTCATCTCAGCATGGCCTCCGAAGCTCCTCATCCTTTAGCTGCCACAGATAGGAGCGTTCTCCAGCATTACCTTCAATTGCTCATCAAAAGCCTGAGGCCACTTCAGCATGTGGGCGCAGTGGTCCTCATGGCGGCGGCCTTGGCCACTGTCAGGGGTTTCCCCACTTCTGCCGAGCACCTTCCGCTCAGCAACCGCAGCAATTCATCACTGTTCAGTCGCCCACTGGAGCGTAGAAAACGTGATGGTAAGTGTCCACTTAGTACTGGTGTCTCTCATTTTCTAAACCCACTGATTAATTGTCTCTTCTGTCGGCAACAGAGGATCCCGCAAGTGTCTTTGGCAAAGGTAGCTTCTTTCTATTAAAAAAATTTTGAGTTTCCGTTTTAAAAACAAATTCTTTTCTTGTGATTGCAGGTGTTGCCTTTTTTCTAGGCGAACCTTGCGAAAGTGTCTGCAACCAGATACTGTTTCATGTGTGGTGCAACTTGACCACACATCGATGCGAATGCCTGCCCGGCTATCCTGTTAACGTTGATAACAAAAACTGCCTGAGAGGTGTGCTAACATTGCAGCTTTGTTTATCTAACCGAAAACTGACCACAGTATTCTTCTAGCAATTGGTATCGACGAACCATGCGAGTTTTCTCAGTCTTGCAAGTACCTGAATCGTCACTCAGAATGCGGGGAGGGCGGTGTGTGCAGGTGCTCACAAGGTCAGTGGTGCTTTGTTGCCAAAGTGACAGTCACAACTAATCAGTTGGTAATTGGTAATTCATAGGCTACTACGCCAAGTACGACGAATCAAAAGACACCGAGTGTGTTGCCTGTAAGTAGTAGACAGAGGGGATCATCCACTGACTAACTGACAATCTGTACATCAAAACAGACGATTCTCCTTTTCACATTCGTATCGGCACAACGACGTTCGACTTTATCAACAACATGGAGTTCATCACATTCTTCAGCCTTACACTAAGCTTCATTCTCATTCTCATTCTCTTCTTTCTGGTGATCAAGCTCATCAACAAGTAAGTGTCTCCCTAAGACTGTCACACAGATCATCCTCAAACCTATTTGCACTTTAGAAATCAACAAATGGCAAAGAACGAGCAGGCCGCCTGTGAGCGCCTGCCCCCTCCGCCGCCAGTGATTCTCAGTGAGCCGCAGTACTACCCCTCTCTGGAGTCCAGTCCGCACAGCTACCGCAATCTCAGCCTCAACGAGAAGGCCAAGTTTCCCTTTGTGCCGACGATACCCTTCTCCAACCTCGGTAAGTCACAGTTCTTCGCCTACCTTCTCATGACGGTTACCGTTGCTCAGGCTCCCGACGGCAGTCGCTCTCCTCACTGCAATCTCAAAGTTCAATCAAAAGTTACTCGTCAATGCGAAGCCAGAGCTCCATTCGAAACTACCACTGCCCAAGACCACGCCCCGAGTTTTACCGAAACTTCCGGAAGGCGTCTTCCCCGTGCGACTCGTACACGCACGCCAACAATGTTAATCAAACGGCCTTCATGGCCAACCACCTGCCCAGCAGCTCCATGCGCACCAAGTGCTCCAACAGTCGCTGCGGAAGTGGATCCAAAGTTAAAAGTGTAAGTGTCTCACTGTGTTCAGACAGCCTGTACTAAACTCGTTCATTCAATCGTTATCCCCCTCTCCCTCACAGGAAGTTTGTCTGCTCCACAATTCTCACAAAATGCAAGAAGAGCTCTTCGTGCCTAACTAGCCACCTGTCAATACAACTGGTAGCAATAACCATTGCCATCTTTTTACTAGAGCAAACAAAGACCAAAGTACCAAAATGCCTGTATATAAACTCAATGTTGACGTTGCATTTATACTTTTCATTTTATTATTAATGTACATCAATAGCAATAATCATGTTTTTGCTTCTTTGCAAGCAAGGCGTTTTTAAACTTGTATAAAATAATCTTTTCCAAATGCTTACCGCCTGCTTTTCATGTTCATTTCTTTTGCTTCTCTTCGGCGTAGAGTTCATACAGGTCTGCGCAGTCCG